CAGTAGGGTGACAGGGTGCTGGGCAGCCAGAGGTGTCTGGACTCTACCGCTTCGTAGCTGTGGGACCTTGGGCCTCAGTTTCCTAGTCTGTAAAATGGAGATGATCATGCTTGTTCTGCCTAGCTCAGCGTTGTGTACCTCCAGTTACATGTTTGTAGAAGCACTTTGAGAACTCCGAGGCACTGTACAAATGTTAGCTATTAAACTCCGTGCCAGCCCGTGCCTGCCCCCCACATCCAGCCTAGACGAAGATGAACTTCACCAGCTGTTACTGCAGGACTTTTGGGGGCTGGGCGCTGGAGGGAGGGATGTCACAGATACATTTGACAGTGTATTTGCTTTCAAGGAGGGTATAGTCTGGTTGACATCATCAGAGGAGGATCTATCAGGGCCCAAAACAAAACATTGCTATTGAGTTAATTTTGACTTGTGATGACTCCATGTGTGTCTGAGTAAAACTGCTCCTGAGGGTTTTCAGTGACTGTTCAGTCTTACTGCCAGGTCTTTCTTCCATGGAACGGCTGGGTGGATTCGAACTACTAACCTTCTGGTTAGTAGCTGTCTTAGTCATCTAGTGCTGCCATAACAGAAATACCACAAGTGGATGGTTTTAACGAAGAGAAGTTTATTTCCTTACAGTAAAGTAGGCTAAAAGTCCAATTCAGGGTGTCAGCTCCAGGGGAAGGCTTTTCCTCTCTCGGCCTTCTATTCAGTGTTCCCCCAGACTAGGAGCTTCTTGGCGCAGGGACCCTGGTCCAGAGGACGTGCTCTGCTTCCGGCACTGCTTTCTGGATGGTATGAGGTCCCCCTGTCTCACTGCTCACTTCTGTCTTTTATATCTCAAGAGATTGCCTCAGGACACAATCCAGTCTTGTAGATCAGGCCCTGTCTTACTAACACAACTGCCACCCATCCTGCTTTATTAACATCATAGAGGCAGGTTTACAACATACAGGAAAATCACACAGTACCAGGAATCATGGCCTAGCCAAATTGATACACACGTTTTTTGGGGGACATAATTCAAAACATGACAGTAGCCAAGAGCAAACTGTTTGTACCACCTAGGGAACTCCGTCACGGCCAGGGGCTGTCATTTCCCACCCTCTCTTGGAGGTGGGTGGCCCAGGGATTTATCAGGCCCCAGCGCCAGCAGGGAGTAAAGATACTCAGAGTGATGGATGTGACTTGGGTCGGGCTTTGGAAAGTCTCAGACCTATCTGATCCCTTGAGTGAGCACTCTTGGAGGGGGTCAAACTGGGCCTGAGAGACCCTGAGGTTCCCAGAGTGTTGTCCCTGGCTGGGGCTCTGGGTGGGTAGACAGTGAGGAGGTGAGGATGGTGGTGGGGAGTGGAGAATGGAGCAGCATTTACAGCACTCAGTACTCAGTGACATATCCATGCCATCTGGGGAGGGCAGCTTGGAGCCTAGGCCCAGGGTCTGACCAGCACCCCCACCTCTAGGTACCTACAGGGTGATCTTTAGGTGGTACTAGGTCCCAAATTAGGCCATAAGCAAATAACATGAAATGACCTTGTGTTATCCACCATCAGCTCCCTGTCTCCTCCCCGTACAGGGCCTGTATGTGGTGGGTGGCCCTGAATGTGAGTGAGTGAGTGAGTGGAGGAAAGAATCACTGAGTGAAGTGCCTGGAAGGTTTCAGACCCTAATGACCTGGGGGCCTGTGCAGGCTCCTCAGGCCTCTCCTACTACTCCCAATGAAACTCAGTTTCCTGCCTCTGGGAATTTCCTGCCCAAAGTGAGTTCCTGACTCACTGGGCCATTTCACACCTCTGACGTGCAGGTCCGTGTGCCTGTAACACCCTTCACCCTCCTTGGTCCTCTGGTGAACTTACCCATCAGGACTCCAGTCAGAGCCACCACCTCCCCTGGGAAGCCTTCCCAGACTTCCCCTGGCAGAGGAGACCCTTCTCTGGCTTTTGGGGGCACTGGGTACCCACTTCTGTTTCAGGCTGACCACCTCCTTGTCAGTCTCTGTATATGAGTCAATCATCACAGCACCCAAGCCGTGAGCCCCTGAGGGCAGGGGTCATGCTCTTTTTCTCTGTGTATCCCCAGCACCTAGCATGGTCCCTAGCATACCACAGGCACTCAGTAAATGTGAATGAAGGAATGAATGAGTGAGTGAATGAATGAACAAAGGAACACATGGTGGAGGGAGTAGTGGGAAGTCAGAGGAGGGGACAGCCTTGACCAGATCCTTATCTGCCTCCCTCTCATCTGGCCTAAAGGGGCAGGAAGCCTGGGGGCAGAGGGGGAGGGTAGGCCCAGTGTGAGAGGAAGGCCAGGTGGGGAGAGTGAAGGGCGTGTCACAGGGAGGGCCCACAGGAGTGAGATTGTAAGACCTCGTCATTTTTCCCCTGTAAATCTTGTAATTTTATGCTCCAGGGGACCACAAAGTGAGAAAGTCCATGGGGAGTGAATTCAACTCCCCTGGCCACTCCCCCCACCCCAGGAGACTGAGGGGGCTCTCCCCACAACTTCCCCTGGAAATTCCTCCCCTACTGTTCCTCTCTGCCCCCAGAGATCTGGGGTGATTCATCTCCCCAGCCTGACCAGTACCTACTCTGGTTTGCCTGGGCTGGACGCCTCCTCTGGGCCCTCCTCTTTCCCCCACCTTGGCTCCTGGCCTCTGACCCCTGTACCTGCCACCCTACCTCCACCTTTGGAGGACAAAGAGCATTTGTCCCACTCATGTCATTAGACCTGGAGGGGTTCTTACGGAGATAGACAGAGGCAGCAGGCTGTTCCTGATGACTACCTGGCCACCTTCTCCTTTCCTTAACCCTCCCCTGGCCCTTTTTCCACAGCCTCTTGGAGCATTTCAACTCAGAAAGGTCAGATTTCTACTTTCTAAAGTGAATCTTAGAGATAAGAAACAATCCCCCTCCCTCTGGAAGCCAAGGACACTTCTCTGGCTGGTGGTCCAGGGAAAGAGAGGGTGTATGGGGGAGGCCTAGGGCCTGGAGGGCTGGTGAGGAGCATGCTAATCTGGACTCCAGGTTGCTTGTGGGACAGGTTCCCATAGATACACTGGTGTGTGTTTAGATACCATCCTAAGGTGAACTAGATTTAAGCCTTGGGGGAGGCTCAGCTGTTCAATCCAGGGATGAAAGGGCTGTGAAGGTGGATGTGAACCTTGGTACACATGCTTGATACACAGTAGTTACACAGTGGGGAGTGTGTACGTGTGCATCCATATTCCACCATAAAAGGTTGTGCCTTGAAGGTGCTTGGGGTGGTGGGGTAGGGGAGTAGAAATATATGGAAGAAGAAGCAAGTGTGTGTGTGGCCAGCTGTGGTGAGAGAGAGCCCCAACAAGTGGGTGCATTTCATTTAATAAGTGTGCCTGGCACGAGGCTGTGCTGGGGAGAGGCTGGAGGAAGTGATGCAGAGAACTGCTGAGAGATTACTGACAAGGGAAGGGAGTGAATACTTCCCAAATGCCAGCTAGGTGCCAAGAATTGGTCCTGTAATTCCCCTAGTCACACAGAAGCACAGGGAGATGGAATAACTTGCCTAAGGTCACACAGCTGGTAGGTGGCATAGTTACAATCCAAACCCAAGTCTGCTGATGCCAGAGCCCCATGTCAAATGCCTGGAAACAGCTGCTCAGGCTCTCAAGGGGGTCTTGGAGGAACCTCGAGGCAGACAGGTGGTTTCAGGAGATGTCCCCACACCCCTGCCTCTGACCCAGAGTGGAGCGGTGGGGGGCTCAGCTGACCTTACAGAGAACTTTCTGGGCCTCCCTGACCCATACCAGACCTCTTGCTGCCCATCTGCCCACCTCCCAGGCCTACTAACTCTTTGACTATCACACTATACCACTAACCAGAACTGTTTCCTCCTGCAAGCTACATATACCTTCCACCCCTTTGCCCCCTCTGGCCCAGCATCCAGTCAAGCCACTTTGGCCTCTAAGCCCAGACTACTATAGTCCGTGTAACGCTGCTGATAGTTGAGAGACACTCTCCAGGACTTGACCTAAATCCCCCAGTGCCTGCAGACCCACCCAGAGTCCCCAAACTCAGAAAGCCACACAGTTCTCAGAACCTGTGCCACTGACCTGTAGACTCTACCTCGATACCCTCAACTCTGGGCTCTGACTCCACAGTGAACTCTGCTCCCTTAGCTCCCAGGCTGACCATGAGTAAGGCAGGTGGCCTTGGAGCCAGGCTTCCTGGGCTTGAATCCTGGCTCTGACGCTTTCAGCTGTGTGATCTTGGACAAGTTACCTAACCTCCTTGAGCTTCAGTTTCCTCATCTGCAACAGGGGGTTAATAATCCCTACCTCACAGCCTTGTGGAAGGATTAAATGAGATCTTGTCTGTACAGTGCCTGACACATAGTAGTTACTTAGTAAATAGTCCCTATTTTAATTAATACTCTGAGCTCACCCCCATGCTTTCCTCTTGAGTCCTTTTGTGACTATTGACCCTTTCTTTTGCTGCCCTCATTGAGGTTCCAACAAAACCTTACCAGGTCTCAGGGTGAGTCCCTATAGGCTCTGATCCCCAAGCCCTAAGACCAAAAAAAAACCCCAAACGTATTGCCATCAAGTCAATTCTGACTCATGGCAGTCCCATGTGTGTACAGAGTAGCACCGCTCCATAGGGTTTTCCTGGCTATAAACTTTACATAAGCAGGTCACCAGGCCTTTCTTCCATGGCACCTGTGGATGGATTCGAACCACCAACCTTTAGATTAGTAGTTGTGTGCAAATAGTTTGCACCACCCAGGGACCTCCAAACCCTGACAGCTCCTCTTAATGGCTCCTAGATCTATCCTTACCCCCAAGCCTATATGGACCCTGTGACCTGCTCATTCACCCCTAAGACCTTCCACCCTACCCTGACCTCCTCCCCTCACTACCCCCAAACTCCCCCTGAATTCCAGATCCCACATTGACTCATGACTATCCTTCCCCCAGCTCAGTGGCAGCTGCTGGTGCCTACACTGACTAGGCCCCTATCTTGCAGGCTCTCCAGGTGGCCCGGCAGTTCCTGCTGCAGCAAGCCTCCGGCCTGAGCTCCCCAGGGAACAATGACAGCAAACAGTCAGCCTCTGCTGTACAGGTAAGGAAGAGGGCACCCCACGGGCTGGGGCTGGGCTGAGACCAGGTCAGGAGGGTGGGCTTGGCACAGAGGGAGGGGTGGGACCAGTTGGAGAACTACTCTTGCCAGTCCCCAATACCAAAAACATGGGCAGCTTTCCAGAAAGAAATTAAGCCACTGCAGGGGTGGGGCGAAGAAACTTCCACTTTCTCTCTCTACCTGATCACCCACACTTCTTCTAGCTTAACTTCTTCCTGCCTGCCCCTTTGTGTCTCGGAGTTTGTGTCTGTCGTCAGCTCTCTCTGTCTCTCTGTACTTGTCTCACTTGCCTTTCCTCTTCCTTCAGGGTCTCAGTCACTTCTTGTGTTTCCGTTTCTCTATCCTGTGGATCGCTCTGTCTGTCCTTCTCTGCTCCCGGATCTCCAGCTCACCCGTCCCAGGCTCTCAGTTGCTGCTGTCCCTGCGTCTCTGCTTACCCTTATCTCTCACCCACCAACTCTCCCCGAGTCTCGCCGCGTTTCCTGTCTCTCCATATCTCTCTGTCTCTTTTGTTTTCCTTTGCACAATCTGCCCTTTTCTCCCCCCTCCCTTCCCCCCAGCTTGCCAGCCCATCTGGCTGCTTGGGGGAGGGGAGTTCGGTGGGGGGCGGGCGGGGGGAAGCCAGGCCTTCTGTTTACTTTTATGTCACAAAGAACTTGGGAGAATTGCAGTCTGAGTCCAGGATGGGTCACAACTGGGGCAGCCCGCTCCCCTCCCCCTGGGCCCAGAGCCCAGCCTCCTCATCCTTGTCTTTCTCCAGACCCCTCCCCACAGCAGCAGGGGAGGCTCAGAATTGGGGAGAGGATTAAGCGGGGCTTTGAAAGGAAGTTTATCTAAGGGAGGAAGGGTGAGCGATCCTGAACTGGGGGCTCTAGAGTCTGAGAACTGGGTAGGGGGGGTGGGAGCTTGGGGGTGCTAAGGGAAGGAGGGAAGTGAGGAGGAGGGTGGGGAGAAGTACAGGGTGCTCTGAGAAGGACCCAGGCCTGGGCTTTGTCCTGGGGAGAGATTCCAAGGCTCTGACAACATATCTGGGGTTTATGTTAAAGTGCTTTGAAAAGGTTCAAGGTGCTGGACAGATGTGAGGGGTGAGTAGTAGCACTCTTAAAAATCTTGAACCTAATGAAAGAACCCTTAAGGGGGAGGAGTTGGGCAAAGAGTGGGGAGTGGCCTAGGGTGGGAGAGGGGAGGACAAAGCCTGGAAAGTCGGTAATGGGAGGAGGAGAGAGTTCTCCCACCCTAATGATGTACCAGGTTCTCATGCCCAAGTGGTGTCAGGACTGGTGTCACACACACTTCCTGGATCTGAAATGGCCCTAGGGCTAGTGTCCTGAATCCCCCTACCCTGGCCCAGTTTAGCAACCCTTTCTAAGAACAGAGAGGGGTAGAATGTGGAATAGGAATGTACCCCCAATTCAGAAAGGGAAGGAACTTGATGGTAGTTGGCGTGACCAAGGTCAGGTATCGAGAAGGATTTTCAACCAGGTATAAGGGGCAGGAGATCTGAAATAACAGAGAGGAAGGCAGGCTGTGAATCTTCCTTAGGAGACCCCCAAAAGGCAGGAGGTCCCTGGATAGCCTAGAATGAAAGGAACAGGTTTTGGGGTCAGAGGAGCAGATAAAATGCTCCTTTTCTCAGGCTTCTCTTTCCTTGCCTTCTCACCTCCCAATAATTGATTGACTGATCAATTCATTCACCAAATAAACTTCCTGAGTACTTCCTAAACTAACAACTATCATTTACAAAGTGCTTACCACAGGGCAGACACTATGTGCTTTACACGTATCGTATCGTCTCATTTTATCCTCACAATTCTGTGGGTGTTGTTGTTGTTAGGTGCTGTCGAGTCAGTTCCGACTCATAGCAACCATCCGTATAACAGAACCAAACATTGCCAGGTCCTGCGCCATCCTCGCAATCCTTGATATGTTTGAGCCCATTGTTGCAGCCACTGTGTCAGTCCATCTCGTAGAGGGTCTTCCTCTTTTTTGCTGACCCTCTACTTCACTAAGTATAATGTCCTTCTCCAGGGACTGGTCCCTCCTGATAACATGTCCAAAGTCAGTGAGAAGAGGTCTCACCATTTTTGCTTCTAAAGAGCATTCTGGCTGTATCCTATGGGTAGATGCTATTATTAGCTCCGCCTTGCAAATGAGGAAACTGAGGCTCAGAGAGGTTAAGTAACTTGTCCAAAGTCATACAGCTAACAAGGGGAAGAGCCAGAATTTGAACCCAGACAAGGAGCCCCAGAACTCACACCTTTAATCCTTGCACTGTGAGGCTACCTTAGTGCTTAGCACAGTAATGAGCACCAATAGTCCCCCAGGTACAGAAGCCCTAGCTGGATGGTTCTCTGGGTCTTGGGGAGATGAGAGTTCTTGGGGCCATGTCTGAGCTTCCCCAAGAGCCTGGAGCCCCATCTGTTGATCCCTTGTCTTTCTCCTCCAGCCCTGGATACCTTCCTTGCCTCCCTGTCCCCACCCCCAAGTTCAGTCTCCAAGGAGGAAGGGGTCTCTGCCCCAAAGTGAGGCCCAGTGCCTAGAAGTAGCTTCTCTGTGAGCTGAAGGCTGGTGGGTGAGGTGGGCGGGTAGGGGAGAGCAAGGGCTAGGCTCCTCATCCAAGTGGAAAAGTATAGTTTGTTGATTTGGAACTTGAGCGAAATGGGTAATGAAAGGAGATTAATGGCATCCCCTTTCCCAGTGGCCCCCTTAGGGTGCTGCTCTGCTCCCGTCCTAGAGACAGGATTCTCTGCCTGCTCACCTCCTAGCCACCCTCACCACCCTTTTCCTAGAGCCAGCTTTCAGAAGACTTTCTAAAGCTTTATTAGGTCACTGGAGCCCTGGTGGCACAGTGGTTAACAGCTGTGGCTGCTAACCAAAAGGTCAGCTGTTCAAATCCACCAGCTGCTCCTTGGAAACCCTATGGGGCAGCTCTACCCTGTCCTGTAGGATTGCTGTGAGCCGGAATTGACTCGATGGCAACGGGTTTTGTTGGGTTTTTGGTATTAGGTATCCGGCTCTGGCCTAGCGAGATTACTTGGTTTGCACCCAGGCCTGGGCCCCAGGCAGGGAGAGATTAGTCATGGAAGGCAGCACAGGTAGCCTGGAATTTGGTGGAGAGAGGGTAGCAAGGGACAGGCTCCTTAGCTCTGTCTGCTCCCCAGCCTTCATCTCATCTTCCTTGTCCCTGTACCCCTAACCCAACGAGACTTCTTCCTCTGGTGTTTCTGGAAGTTCTTGGTGTCCCACCACGATCTTTCTTGCTGTACTTCAGCCCAGAACTAGTCTGAGGACTTCTTTCTGGTCATTTACAAGGGGTTTAACTTAAACCAAGCTCTGGCCTGGTCTCCCCACGTTGTTCTGCAGTTGTTCCACCTAGGGACCCCAGATCCCATACAGAAGAGACTGTGTTTGGGTCCTTGACTCTGACACCAAATTGCATCCACCCCAACCCACAGCCCCCAGATAAGCTTCCTCTATGCCAAACACCATCCCTACTACTCCTGGCCAGCTTAGCAAACTGTAGTAGTGATGGGTAGAGGGCTCAGGGGCCTGAGCAGACTCCTTGAGGGAGGCGCTGGAGGCAGCTGTGGGCATTTAGCCTGAGGCTCACACTGCCAGGGCTTTAGTAAGTGCCTAGCTGCCCTGGCTGAGTTCCAGGTGGTGACTCATCTGAGCTTACTAGCTGATGGGTGCCCATCCTGGCACATCCCAGCCTGGTAAGGGGGGCCAGCAGGGATACCAGGAGAGCTCCAACTCGGTTCTCAGAACCCCAAAGGGGATGAGGAGAGGTGGATGGGGCCAGCTAGCACAGGGGATCAGCATGAGGCAGACAATTCACTGACCTTTCTTGACCCTCTTGGGCCACCTTAGCCAACAGATACACACAGGTAATCCATTCAGATCACCTCAGCAGCCTCTTCAGCCAGCTGCTTGGCTATTCCCCTGCCTGTAAGCAGGAAAGCCCCAAGGAAGGAAATGCCACATCCATTGTTGCATGCCACTCTCAGTGACTCACACTCCTGGTGCCTGGGCTCAGACTCTCGTGCTGTGGGTCACATCCATCTCCCCTAGTTCAGTTCTCACTACCAATGAGAATGAGCGGCCAGTCTCTTTGGTCCTAAGTGACCCTTGCCGTGCAGTGCCCTTTGGGGCCCCTGACACGCCTAAGGTACAATAGGGGGGAAAGGAGAGGGAAAGGAAGAGACTAGAAAAGAGGGGGAAAGGAGAATCCCCCTTTTCCCAGCTGGGGCCCTAACCTGTCAGGGGTGCCACCCAGGACAAATCCCTGCAAGATACTTCTCCCTGACTGGGCCCCACCCCTCACCCCTCCCTTTCTGCCCCAGGGTTGTCAGAGGGGCCAAATGTAAATTTTTTTACATTGGCATAGAATTTAATTGCATACAAATCACTTTCACTTACCCCTTCTTCTGTGTCCCCTGGGTTGGGGGCAAGTTATTTAATCTCTCTGGGCTTCAGTGTCCTCATCTGTAAAATGCTAATGATGATGCTGTGAAGATTCGATGAGATAATACGCACCTGGAAAGAGCTTAGTGTAGTGCCTGGCACGTAATATGCCCTCAATACCATGTACGTGTGCAGCCCTGTGGGGTGGGCTGGGCCGGTGTTCCAAACCCAGTTAGCAGACCGGTAAAGTGAGGCTTGGCGATTTCAGAAAACGGTAGATGTCAGGGACGAGAACTTAGGTCACCCTGTGCTCTGCACCCTGCACTGCCTCTCAGTTGGAAGCCCCCTGGGTTGGAGGGAGGGAGGAGGAAAGAAATGACAGTCCTGGATATTAGTTGGCTTGGGGCACTCCAACTCAGTTTGTAACACTTGTCTTTGGACGGCAAAGGCCAAGTTCTTTAAGCTGCTGCCGCCTCAGCTGCCTCCAGGACACCCGACCACAGACACAGAGCTGGCTCTGCATGGGGGGTCGGTCTGTGTTCCCCTATCCCAGGACCCTCAGAGAGTGATGACCAGAACACTCCTTCAGCCTGGCTTTCCAGAAATCTTTAGGATATAATTGTAAAGAGGAGAAAGTATGCCTTTAGGATCTCCAGCCCTGTCACCCCCTTCAGCCCCCTGGATTGTCCAGTTTCCACATGCTTCTCAAGACTTGCTTTGGGGTGGGGCAGGCCGTGTGGGATGTGGAGTACACAGACCTGGGCGGGAATCCCAACCCTGCTATTTTGGTATGTTACCTACACTCCCTGATCTCGTGTTGCCTTATTGGTAGAAATGGGGTAACAACACTCCAAAGGGCTATGGGCACCACCTGCCCTTCCAGCTTAGAAGCCTCAGAACCTTCATTCACACAGTGTGCCCGTGACTAAAAAACCAGGTTGTTATGCTTCCCAGGGACATTTGGACAGCCATTGGCTAGGGTACAGGAGAAGGCCCAGGAGTGGGGCTCAGACACTAGTTACGGGGTAGGCAAGAAGAATTGGGGCACTGGGACTTCTTTGATGTCCCTGGACTTACTGCCTTGCTCCTTCTGCCTGGGAATTTTCTAATGGGTGGCTTGTAGCTTGTCCTCTCCTGCCAGGGGAAGGGAACAACCACAGGTGGGTGAGGCCGGAGGGAGGTGACGGGCCACAAGTCTTCTGGGGCCCTAACCTGTCAGGGTACCACCCAGGACAGGTCCCTGCAGGACAATCCTCCCTGACTGGGCCCACCCGTCACCCCTCCCTTCCACCCAGGGCTGTCAGAGGGGCCCAGGGCACAAACACTTAGTGGGTGCCTACTGTATGCTGGCTCTTTGCCAGGCTGGAAGTGAAAGGGAGATTAGAGAAGAGTCCTGCACCCATGGGCTTACAGTGGGGGGAAGTGGCAGACAGCCTCATCAGAGTACCTGTTCTGCTAAAATGGGGACAGAACACCATGGCAGCTTGGACCTCCCTGGCCATGACTGCAAGAGCTGGGGAAGAACGATGTGATTGCTTCCCCCTGAACCTTTTACCTGCTGCAGCTGGATTCTTCGGGCCTGCTGGAGAGGCCCAACCCAGGACAGGGGACAGAAAGCTGGTCTACTTTTAGAATCCTGGATGTTCCAGCTGGAAGGAGTCCTCTCTCTCTCTCTCTCTTTTTTTTAAATTCCCATTATAGCATTTCTTTATTTATTTTCTTATGCTTTAGATGAAAGTTTATACAGCAGATTAGTTCCTCATTAAACAGTTAATACACAGATTGTTTCGTGACATGAGTTGCCAACCCCATGATGTGTCAGTACTCTCCCCTTCTCCACCCGGGTTCCCTGTTTCCATTCATCCAGTTTTCCTGTCCCTTCCTGCCTTCTCATCTTTGCTTTTGATCTGGGGAGCCCCATTAGTGTTGTATACATGACTAAACTACGAAGCGCGTTCCTCACGTGTGTTACCGTTGGCCCTATAGACCTGTCTGATCTTTGAAGGGTGAACCTCAGGAGTGACTTCAGTACTGAGTTATAAGGGTGTCCAGAGGCCATACTCTCAAGGCTTCTCCAGTCTCTGTCAGACCAGCAAGCCTGGTCTTTTTTTTTTTTTTTTATGTGAATTTGAGTTGTGTTCTACATTTGTCTCCCGATCTGTCTGGGACCCTCTATTGTGATCCCTGTCAGAGCAATCGGTGATGGTAGCTGGGTACCATCTAGTTGTTCTGGGCTCAGTCTGGTGGTAGTTGTGGTCTGTTAGTCCTTTGAACTAATCTTTCCCTTGTGTCTTTGGTTTTCTCCTTTCTTCTGTCCCTTTGCTCCAGCTGGGATAGGACCAGTAGATGTATCTTAGATGGCTGCTTGCAGGCTTTTTAGACCTCAGACGCTACTCACCACATTTGGATGTAGAACATTTTCTTTATAGATTATGTTATACCAATTGAGCTAGATGTCCCCCAAGACCATGGTCCGTAACCCTCAGTCCAGTATCTCAGTCCCTCATGGCTAGAAGGAGTCCTCTCTTGAAGACAATTCCTGTGTTGTATGTTTAAGGAAACTGACTGCCTTGCTCGAGGTCACACAGCACATTCAGTACAAAGCTAGGAACAGAAGCCTGGCTTCCTAACTCCCTGCTTGTACTCTTTCCAGCCCAGCTGTAGACATAGCTACACGTACACACACACACCATGACAGCACCAACAGGTGCTCCCTGGGCTTCACTCTAAGCTATTGTGTGTGCCGTCTAGACAGTTGTGCTGGAGCATATGACGTGTATGGGGGGCCACAGCCAAGATCCTTGTACCATGCGGACCACTTTTGAATCCCTCCCATGGCTGCAGACAGCCCTCCTGGCCAGGCCCGCCTTACAGGTAGTGGTCTCAGAATAGACTGAGCGAGAGTCAGGAATAGTGTGGTGCTGCCCTTCCCCATCATTTGGGGGAGAAACCTTCCAAAGCCTGGGTTCTACTGACTGCTGTCACTAGGGTCTAATCTTTCTGCACCAAGGACAACACATCCTACAACAATAGCCCACCTTTACGAGTGCTTCCTGTGTGCCAGGTTCTGATTTAACTTGTTAATCCTCATGAGGACCTAACGAAGTAGGCACTGTGGCTACTTCCATTTTAGAGACAAGGAAACAGAGAACAAGGAGGTTAAATCACTTGTCCAAAGACACACAGCTATTAAGTGGCAGAGCCAGGACTCGAGCCCAGGCAGCCTGACTCTCTGCTATACTGAGTGTGAGGCCTTGGGTGCATGCCTCTCCTGCGGGTGCAGTCCACGTGAGCAGACTAACGGGGCCGAATCCAGCAGGTGCCGGTGTCGGTGGCCATGATGTCGCCGCAGATGCTCACCCCCCAGCAGATGCAGCAGATCCTGTCACCCCCACAGCTGCAGGCCTTGCTCCAGCAGCAACAAGCTCTCATGCTCCAGCAGGTAGGTCTGGCCCCAGGGCAGCCGGGGGGTCAGGAGGAAGAGGAGTGAGGAGTGACGGGTGGGGTGGGGTGGGCTCTGTCCTGCCTCTTCCGCCTGGCCTCCCACATCCCTCCCTGTTTACTGCCAACATCACTGAGGGCCAGGCAGCTGCGGAAACCAGTTTGGCACCCAGAAAGACAGCTCAGGCTGAACTGCTCTGCATTCCTCCAGGGAAGCTGGGGGTGGTCAAAGGTCAGGCTTCTCCCTACAGCAGCCCCTTCAAACCCCTTCCTGTGTGCTGGCCTCCCTCTATCTCTAGAACCCTGGGGAAGAGCAAAGTACAGGAACACCCTGGCATCTTGTGACCAGGAGACTCACCAAGAGGTGGACAGGGTTCAGAGCTGCAGGATGGGGTCCCCTCTCCCTGCCCACTCCCTCCAAACCCTGGCCTTGCTCAGGAGGACACTTGTTTCACATTGCTGTGAAACCCCCCACCCTGGCCTCAGGAGGACAGGGCTGGCGTTGCTCTGGGGCTCGGCAGCCCCCAGCCCATGGTAACCACTGCCCGCTACCCTCCACCCCACCCAGCTGCAGGAATATTACAAGAAGCAGCAAGAGCAACTCCACTTACAACTGCTCACCCAACAGCAGGCTGGGAAACAGCAACCCAAAGAGGTGAGAGGCTCTATCAGGGCCTACAGCCCCCAGAGGGGGGATGTTCCCCATCATCTATAGCCCCAGCCCTCTCCTGGCCAGGGGCTGGGAGTCCAAAAGTGGTCAGGAAAGAATTGCCTTGTGGGAATAATAGAAAAATCGGGAAGAAATTGGGGAAGTGGGGACAACAGCTCACTGAAATCTCTCCCTCTGCTCTCATCCCATACATTCTTTCTCTCCTGGCCTTGTGTTGTTGGATTAATGCGAGCAAGAAGGCTGAGCGCTGTGTTGTCTCCGGACATGCATGTGGACATGTGTGCAGACATGCGTGTGCACATGTGTGTGCATGTTATCATCCGTGTGTGAGTGTCTGATGGTCCATGCTCACGTCCAGTTGCCTCGTTTTCATGCCCACTTGTCAGCACCTCAGCCCTTCACTTCTCTGCCTGAGAATCTTTCAGCCCCTCAGAAAACCCCCAACCTGCAACACCCCCCTCAACTTCTGCTGCTTCTGGTACTATCCAGCCAACCCCCCTCCAGCCACCCCTTCCCTTACCCACAGATTTTCTCTCAGAACTCCCAGCCCACACCCCCACCCCACTGGGCCACAGTACCTCCTAAGCTTCTATTCTAGACCCTGTAGCACCAGACCCCCACCCCCACCCCCATGTCCCAAACATACTGCTGGCCAAACCACCGCCAAGTTCTAAGTCACCTCTTCCCAGAAGGCAGCCCTGATGAAGCCCAATCCTCCTTCAAACTCCCTGGGCCTCCCGCTCCACAGTCTTGTAATTGTGGCATTATCTGCCTGTAAATCTCAAAGCTGGGTTTCTCTGTCTTGTCTCCATATTGAATAGCCAGGCCCCCACCCCACCTCACCCCACCCCTGGGCCAGGCAGGCAGAGATAGCCCTGACTCCCAAGCACCTGGGACATGCTTAGTTCCTGGGCTCAGCAAAGACTTGCTGACAGCCTGGCTTGTCAGTGCCTGTGTGAAGAACTGAATGGGGGGTGGGGGGAGGGAGAGAGCAAAAGAGAGAACGAACACGCACGCACGTGCCTGGGCCGTGGCGCTGTGACTGTTCCCCAAACCCAGTTCTGATGACCAGCTGGTCTTTTAAAGTCCTGTCTGACTCCTTGATTCTCTGTATCTAAGGAACAAGAGAGGAGAAGAGCTGGAAGGGAGAAGGCCCCCTCCCGGGAGCAGGCGGGAGCATCCCGGGCATGTGGGGAAGGGTGCCCGCCAGGCGGGAGTGGCCCCCAGAGCCTGACAGGCTCATCGATCATTGTGATGAGAGGGGATCCCCCCCCCAGGCGCCCACACAGCTGTGGTGCGGGACGCTGGTGCAGAGGGAGGAGGGAGGCAGGCAGGAGGGCCGGCTTCATGCTGCGTGTCTGGGTCTGGCTGTGTGTGTTTGCGTGCGTGCGTGCGTGCGTGCATGCGCGTGTTTATTGCAAGGAGGCATGCAGCCTTATGGAAGCTGGGCCGGGAGCAGAGAAGCTTCGGACGCCACAACGGCCACTCCGGGGGCTGACAGGCCCTGGGAAGGGGTGGCCGCAGGGTGGGGGCCAGATGGCACGCCTGAGGCTGATGGCACCCCTCTCTGCCCACCCCCTCGGGCCCCCCACCAGGCACTGGGGAACAAGCAGCTGGCTTTTCAGCAGCAGCTCCTGCAAATGCAACAGTTGCAGCAGCAACACCTGCTCAACCTGCAGAGGCAGGGGCTGGTCGGCCTACAGCCCAGCCAGGCCTCGGGGCCCCTCCAGAGCCTCCCGCAAGGTGAGCAGCCCTTCTCTCCTGCCCCTCCCCGCCCATCCCCACAGCCCTCCCTGGTACCCGAGGGCTGGCAGCCCCTCCTCCCAGGGCTGAGTAGGGAGGCCGAGCACATTCCTGGGGCCCTGCCAGCCTCCCTCCTTCTCCCACAGCAGCTGTGTGCCCGACGGACCTGCCCCAGCTATGGAAGGGTGAGGGTGCCCCCGGGCAGCCCGAGGACAGTGTCAAGCAGGAGGGGCTGGACCTCACTGGCACAGCCGCCACCGCTACCTCGTTCACCACCACCCCCAAGGTCTCCCCGCCCGTCTCCCACCACACCCTGCCCAATGGACAGCCCACTGTGCTCACGCCTCGGAGAGACAGGTGAGGGGCCCCGGCTGGGAGGGCGCTCTGCAGACCTGCCCAAGGGCAGACTTGGACCCCAAGGAATGGCACCTATGGTGGGGGTGGGCGGGAGGGGGTGGCAGTTAGGGACCCAGAAGTGCTCCCCCTCACCCAGGGCACACAAAGCCTGTGTGTGGGATGTGAGTACTGGGCCTCTGGGAAGCCCATAGAAGGGAACAGGAATGTCACCAGCTGGGTAGCTGGGCCCGAGCTGGGCCCATGCTGCTGGGGTCTTCTGGGTCCCTGACCACCACCTCCCTCCTGCTCTGGCAGCTCCTCCCACGAGGAGACCCCCAGCTCCCACCCTCTCTATGGACACGGAGAGTGCAAGTGGCCAGGCTGTGAGACGCTGTGTGAAGACCTGGGCCAGTTTATCAAGTAGGTGTCACCCCACTCTCCTTTCCCCACTCCCTTCACCCCCCGCGTCCTTTCCCCAAGGGCCTCCCAATGCCCCCCGCCCCCCACCAGCCACCTAGCTTACCCCTTCTGGGGCCTTCAGTCACCAGCTGTCTCACTGTTTTCACCCCAGGGGGCCCGCCTCCCTCCCCAGCCTACATTCCCGAGACCTGCAGCCCCTCAACCTGTCCCTAGGCTGCCAGAACAGAGCAGGGTGGGAGGTGGGAGGAGAAGGCCCAGGGAGAATGGATACAGGCACCTCCCCCTCTTCCCCACCCCCCGTCCCCCTCCCAGCTTCCCCCCTAGACTCAGCCCGAGAGTGATGGCCTAGTGATGGGGCCAAGGCCGGCAGACAGGCAGGTGGGAGGCGGATAGGCGGCTGGCAGCAGGCAGCCAGCTGCCACGGCCGTGCCAGGCTCTGTCACTGACTGATTAACTCCGCTGTCTCCCAGACCCTTGCAGCATCAGGGTCAAACAAATTGTTTTCACGCTTCGTCAGAGGTTTACTTAATTAGTTCATTTGCAATTAGATCTCTCTGTAGCTGGGATTTTAGCAAAGACATCAAAGGAGGCTGACGAGAAGGCAGCTTCCTCAGTTGCCCCATGTTTCCACCTCTTTTCCTTCTTTGTATCTCGTGGTGTCTGCTTTTTAAGTCCGTAAGTGAGGTTAGAGGAGGGGACGGGAGGGTGGGGGCAGCAGGGAAACCTGCCAACTCTCCTCTCTACCCTTCTTCCCATGAAGACACCTCAACACAGAGCACGCCCTGGACGACCGGAGCACAGCCCAGTGCCGGGTACAGATGCAGGTGGTGCAGCAGCTGGAGATCCAGGTGTGGCCCCAGAGGATGGGGAGCATGTGGGCTCTAGGCCCTGCCCCACCCGCAGCCCTGTCTGTCCAGGAGTGGTTGGGAGCCTCATGGGAGGTTCATGTGGTCAAAGCCACCATCTTATGCTTCCTAGGTCCCAATTACCATGGTTATGAGGTGAGGGCAGCTGGATGGCCAGGGTGTGGAGGGTATACAAGGCCCCACCAAAGGTTGGAGGTGTCTCTACTGAGAGGTCCAGAAGAGACTCACACTACATAAAAACAACAAAAACACAACACTAATTGCTGACATATGGAACATTTACTATGTGCTGTACTAAATACATATATAACTCAATCCTCAGAACAACCTAAAGTGGTAGGTACTATTATTATGCCCATTTTACAGATGGAGAAAAGGGAGGCATAGGGAGGTGAAGTTACTTGCCTCTGGTCACTCAGCTAGTGAGTGGCAGAGCTGGGATTCAAACCCAGGCAATGTGGCTCTGAGTCCAAGCTCTGTAACACGAAGTACAGATACTCAGGAAGCTATTCAGGACAGTACATCCATCAGCTGATCAATCTTTACCCATTTCCCTCTGGCACGGAGCAGAGCAGCCTGCCGTGAAAGGGTAGTCATGAAAGATCTAGTGCGTTTCTGAATGGCGTGAGTGAGGCAGTCATCCATTTCCTCTGTGTCTTCCTTCAGTCCGGGAGGACCCTGTCACAGCTCTGTGTCATGGAACTAGGCACTTGGGTGTTCAGAGAAATGGTAGCCATGGCCCTGCCCTCAATGGGGAGAAAAGGCAGGTGCTGATAGAAGGAAAGCCCCTGATTTGTAGTGGTTGTGATGAACTCAAGCCAGAGAGAGCACTATTGGCCCAGAGAGGACGGAGGGAGGGCCACATGGACAGGTAGCCCACGGACCTGGCCTTGAGGAACCAGATGGGCAGAGTAGAGGCTGAAGCCTTCCAGGAGTAGGAGACACAGGGAGCCAGGATACTGAGGTGTGGAAGCAAGTGGCGGCTGGTATAGGGTCTTTCTGAGGAGTCTGGTGATGTGGCCCATGGGGGCCAGGAGAGGTGGGACGTGGAGGAGGAAGAGGAGTGGGCCACCTCAACAACACAGCCTCCTGCTCACCTCCGCCTCTCCACAGCTCGCCAAGGAGAGCGAGCGGCTGCAGGCAATGATGGCCCATCTGCACATGCGGCCCTCCGAGCCCAAGCCCTTCAGCCAGCCGGTGAGTGACTGTCCCCACCCTGACCCTCCCAGAACCCCTGCACAGCCCCTGGGCCCTCGGGACCCCTCCCTTCAGCATTGGTCTCAGCACCCTCCCTTTGCTCACAGCTGAACCCAGTCCCCGGCTCCTCCTCGTTCTCCAAGGTGGCTGTCTCCGCAGCAGATTCCTTCCCAGATGGCCTTGCGCACCCCCCCACCTCAGCCGCCGCCCCCGTCACCCCTTTGAGGCCCCCAGGCCTTGGCTCTGCCTCCCTGCACAGCGGGGGCCCTGCCCGACGGAGAAGCAGCAGCGACAAGTTCTGCTCCCCCATCTCCTCAGGTGAGGGCAGATGGGAGTGCTGGGGACCTCAGGAGAAGGGTGTTTCACCCTCCCCCCTGGGCTGGACCTCCGTCTGGCTACCTCACTCTCTGCCTGTCTCCCCCAGAGCTGGCCCAGAATCATGAGTTCTACAAGAACGCTGATGTCAGGCCCCCCTTCACCTATGCCTCCCTCATCCGCCAGGTGAGCACTGCACAGAGGAGAGGGATGGGGAGAGAATGGCACAGAGGCTGTACCCCTAGCCCTCCCTGCACTCCCACTTCAGGTACCCCGGCTCCAGGAGGGCCCTGGGGCCAGAGTATAGAACTTTCTCTCACACATCGTCCTCACCCACACTCACAGCTGTACCATCTCCCTCTTGGAGGTTTCGTTTCCTCAATTCAGTCTGCCTGCTGGTCACGCGGATGTGTCTCTAGGGGGGAACACACACCCTTTACTACTCATACCCACTGCATCATTCATTTTCTCATTTCCATGCGCACGCTCCCATGAAGCCCTTTTTTCTGGTAGACTTAGGGTCACTCTTAGCCTGCGTCTTTCTCTCTCTGTCACTCACACACCAACCTATGTTCCCTCCCTCATGTCCATAATCGTCATGTCCTCAATGCTCACGGAATATTCACACTCACACACAAACATACGATAGCACACTATGTCCTCTCTCTCTGATACCCCCACACAGGCACACACACACATACACCCTCACACACGTTCTCACATGTACACACACCGTTTCATGCTTAGGGTGCCTTTTGCTAAAGTCCAGAGAAAATTCCAAACAGCTCCTATCCCAAGGACATCTCTCTCTCTAGAATACTGCTTTCCTTCCCTTTCCAGGACGGGGCATTTGAAGTCATTTTCCCTCCAGAAAGAATTCATGTGCTCCTTGCAAAAGTGTATGGCCCTTGGAGGCCTGTATTCCCTTTAGTCTGTGGCAGCGAGAGATCTTGGGGGAGAGAACACAGGACTGTGACCCTTCAAGCCCGGATTGAGGGTCCCTTTGCTTCCTCCTTGCCCACAGGCCATCCTGGAAACCCCTGACAGGCAGCTGACCCTGAATGAGATCTATAACTGGTTCACCAGGATGTTCGCCTATTTCCGGAGAAACACTGCCACCTGGAAGGTGAGGCACTCCCCTTCACCTGCCTGGGGGCCCCAGCCACCCTTGGGCATCCACATCCTTTGGACATCAAGGCTGCCTAACAGTTATCCCCATCTGGGAGAGGTGGTTCTGTAGAAATGTCCCCACCAGGGATCAGGCTGAGCCATGTGGCCCTACCTCCGCCTCAGCAGGGCCGTGGAATGTTTTATAACTGCCTTTTAATGAACTTTTACTTCCAGCCTCGTGCTGTCTTCTTTCTGGGAGGAAATCTTCACTTCTCTCAGGTGCCCCCCATGGCTCCAGCCCCACGAAGTGGGGCCTCCAGGATTTGGTAGTGGCCAAACCTGATCGGGAAGCCCGGGCTGAATCACAGGGACCCTGAGGGTCTGGATACCTTGGCTAAGACTATGTTCTGAAGCCATGGGAGGTGGGAGGGAGATGTGCAGGCAGCGATGTGTGGATGAACCGACCGGTGTACCCACACACTGGGGCACAAACACAGACACTCGCACAATCTCCCCGACTGCCATAGGTGGCAGGAAGATAATTGTCTCCATCCAATTAGTCATTTCAACACCTTAAGCCATAAGAGTTTTCCTGGGGGACCAGAGGCAGGAAAGGGGGGGCTTTAGAAAAATGGGACACGGAGATATGGGCCGGGGCGCTAAGCCATTTGGTTTTCTACAGCTAAGATGGTTTGTGTGTGTCTGTCTCTGCTGGGTGACAGTATTAGGGTCTGTGCAGCAGGGTGGGAAGGGGATATCTAATTGGGAGGGAGGCGGGGAGAGGAGGAGCCTTGGAAAAGGTTAGACTCGGGAAAGAGTCCCTAGCTCTGAACCGTAATTGGATCACTGGCTCTTGAGTCCCCCTTCTGGCCATCACAAAAACTGCAGGTAATCAGGCCACCTCCCCTCATCCCACCAGCTTTCAACAAGTGTTAGTTACTGAGCCCCATCCCCACCAGCACCCAGGATTGGGTGGGGTGCACACAGGGCCCAGCCTTCTCTTCCCAGGAGGGCGGTGTGCTGGGTCCAGCAGGAGGAACTGCTCCATGACCTTCCGCATCCCCGTGCCCAATTCCCAAAGCTGGGAGACTGGGACAGCGGCTCTGATTGGCTGCGAGTGATGTCATTTCCTACCAACCACAGTCCTGCCCTCCTTCCCAGCCAGCCGGACCTTCTTGAGGTCAGCTGGTCCAATCCCCAACCTCCAGGCCAGTTTAGAAACCACATTTTGTAAATGATAGAGTCCTATACAAATGTAAAGGATTATCATGATTATTGTTCATGTTTTCAAGCACACCTACTTTACTATTATATATTAACTTAATAACTACATGTTAATATTACATATTAATGTAGGGTCTTATTTCCATAACTTCCTCCTTGGGGGCAGAGTCCCACTCACCTCCTACCTTCCTTCCCGTTCTCTTACCTGCACCACCCCTGCTGCAGTTTCTGCTGCTTTCTTCAGGAGGAGCAGGTTTAGGTGGCATCCTTAAACCTCTCGATGACCATTATGCAGCCATCATCCCTTTGGCCTTTCATACTACTGCCATACTCTCATCCATACTCCCTCCCATACTACCTTCCTTACTCCCTTCGACTGGTTGCCCAGCCTTGGTCATCTCAGTAGCATTTCTCCCTCCCAGTTCTTCACCTCTATCTCCTTTCACCTGGTCTGGGTCCCAGCAAGTGGCCAGACTGGGCTGGGCTGGGGGAAAGTGAGTCACCAAGTAGGTGACCTTCTCCAATAGCAGTGCCCAGCTGCTGCTTTCACCACCTGAGGTCACCACTGCCTGTGTCCTCCCTGTGGCAGAGCAGAATCCATCTCAGCTTGAGGTCCACTTTGACCCGCAGGCTTATGCAGCCAAGCTTCATTCATGTTACTTGGGAAATGTGCCCTGTTGACACCCAGCTCTTTTTCCTTGCTACTCTTTACTTACAGCCCATCTGCCTGCCTGTCCTCTTCCACAAGTATTTTGGCTTCCTTCCCTCCCTCTTCCTTTACCCTTTCTGGCCCCCACCCTGAGATGCTGTCCACTTCAGACCGGGGCAGAGGATTGGGAGCAGGCGTGGGCCAGGCCAGCTGCCGTTCATCCGGGGACAGAGCTGCCATCTGCCAAGCTGATGGTCCTTGCCAGCCCTCCCCTGTGTCCATCCACTCCCCAGGCCCATGTTGTGGGCCCGTCCTTTTGTTTACGCAGCCCCCACCAGACCCCTTAAATTGCCGTTAATGTTTCAGCGTAACGAATTAGTCTCTCATCACGAATCAGGCTTCGAAATGAGGGAAAAAAGCCCCAGTGAGGCCATCCTCGGAAATTGGGGTCATTCTCATTTGCAAAGCGGAGGATCGGAGCCCCGTAATGCGGGCAAATTTATTCCAAGGCAGGAGCCCCGGCGTGATTAGGCCCTTTGTAATTATCGCTCCAAGAGATTCCACTCCAGCCGCCCGCCTCCCTCGTGGATTAGCAAGCGAGTCAGAAAAATACACAGGATTTAATTAGAGGCAAATTAAAATTGGTAATGAAATCGGGCCAGTTGCAAGTGGCAAGAGTTGGAAGGGAGAGAGGGAGCGGGGATCTCCAGAGGCACGGGCTGCCCGCCCTGCCTGCCCTGCCCGCTTTCTTCCCTGTTTAGAAATGTAAAGAGGAGAGGAGGATGGGGATGAGGCAGGCGGGGAGGCTGAGGGAGGACAGGTAACAGGGACGGGGGGACGCAGGCAGGCAGGGATGGTGATGGCTGGGGATGGAGGTGGGGGGACTATAGGGACAGGAGCAAGGGACATGGAAGGTAGTGGGTGGATTAGAGCCCTAGCCCATGCTCCCATGGGGAATTGGGCCAAACCCCACCCCGCCCTCACCCAAGTGTGTCCTGTAAACCAGATGACCTCAATTCCTGAAGTTACCCTGCTAGGAGGAGGTAGGAGTGACAAGGTGACTCTTCCTGTTTTCTCTCCTCTTCCTGCCTTACAGCTGCTAAGCCCATACTCTTCTTTCTGCTAGCTTATTTATTTCAACAAGTATGTATTGGCCTTCTACTGTATACCTCGGGCTCTCAATAGCTGCCTGCTCTGAACCATGGCTCAAAGCCGTGGCTCCCAGACTCCCAGGGGTCTGTGATATACAGTGAGGGCTCTTGAGTTCTTTCTAAAACTTTTTAAAGTTTAATGGAAACCCTGTGTGTGCCTGAGATAAGGTATCCCTGGCTCACTGAGACGACAGGGCCCTGCTTTGGGTGGGAATGCTATCTCGTGCTGATCAGAAGTCCTGATGAACTACATGTGTCGTTGATCAATAACCATGGGGGAACAAATTATTACTAACTAGATATTGTTTAGTTGGTAGACAGAGTTTTCCAAAATGTGGCAAGGAGAAGAGGGGAAGATAATAACGTGGGTGTCAGTGGTGAAAAAGCTGGGAGCCTTGACCCTCCCCTCTGGCTGGCCTCCTGTCAGCCCAGCCCCTTTGCCTGCTTAGTCCTGGGCTCGGGGAAGGTGAGCTACTGCTGCGTGGGACAAGGACTTCCCTGTATATGCTCACCTGAGCAGAGGGGGGCCAAGGAAGCCACCTCTGAGCGTCTGCCCCCCTTTGCTGTACCCCCAGAATGCCGTGCGTCACAACCTCAGCCTGCACAAGTGCTTCGTCCGCGTGGAGAACGTCAAGGGTGCTGTGTGGACCGTGGATGAGCGGGAGTATCAAAAGCGGAGACCACCAAAGATGACCGGGTATGTGGGCTAGCCTTGGGTGAGTGAACCTACCCAGACATGAGGCAGGTCACACACCACCCGTGCCTCTCCAGGTTACCTGTGTGCCGCATCCTTGCCAGCTTGGGAAGGTGGGGGTGAAGGGAGAAGGGGCGGAGGAGCCCAGCACTTGGGAAGAGGAGGCCGGAGTCTGGCAGTGACGGAGGAGAGAAGGTGGACACTTACGTCATGTTCTGTCCTCCTGACTGAGGGAGGAGGCCAAGGGGGACTGGGAACCAGAGGGAGAGAGGCACAAAGTAGTTGTGGCTGGAACTGGGACATGGGCAGAGGCCAGCCAATGGGGCCATTAGTGAGATGGCTGCCATCCCCAGGGCCCCTACTCCCCCAGCTCAGACAGGTGCCCACAGTCATCACAGGATGGCCTCACCTCTTTCTTGTATACTGGAAATAGGCCCAGAGAGGGCAAGGGGCTGGTGGAAGGCCACACAGCAGACTCATAGCAGAGCTAGGCCAAAGACCTGGTCTCTGACCTCCTAGTCCTGTGCTTTCTGCTCTATAACACAGCATTTTAAATAGAAACTGAACCCAGGAGAGGGTCAAAATCTCTGCTGACTTCCCTTCTAGCACTAGTGTTGCCTTTCCCCCACCCCAGTTACCCCCACACCGGCCACATTCTTCCCTGTGGAGGGGGAGAGAAAGGTCTGAAGTCTGTTAGATGGATGTGTCCCTGGGTGCCTTAAAGCTTCCTTCTCCCAGGCAAGTGCTTCTCCACTCCCAGGCAGTTATGGGTGCTAGGGCAGGGTGGGGGCCTGGAACAGGGAAGGGAAACCATCCGTACCAAGTGCCCCTGTGCAGTAGTCACCACACCAAGTATTGTCATGCCTCGTTTTAACTAGTTGCCGTGGAGTCAGCCACAACTTATGGCTACCTCGTGTGTCAGAGTAGAACTGTGCTCCATAGGGTTTTCATTGGCAGATTTTTTGGAAGTAGATTTCCAGGCCTTTCTTCTGAGGCACCTCTGGGTAGATTCAAACTCCAACCTTTTGGTTAGCCGCTATGCCCATTAATTGTTTGCACCACCCAAGGACTCCTTATGCCTCATTACCACTTGAAATCAGGACCTGGCTTCAAATTGCACCTCTACTTCTCACTAGCTGTGTGACCTTGGGCCAGTTCCTTAACCTCACCTAGACTCTGTAAATTGGGGGTAATCACTTTGGAAGTGGGAAAACCTTGGGCTGTTGCTTCTCCTGACCAAACTCCCTAACACGCTTCATGTGGAGAAGGCTTTCGTGTGGAGCGTGTGGAGACAGGCTGAGCACAGAATGGTGAGAAAGTGTGGATTTTACAAACATGAGATTAGCAAGGCTATGACTCAGCCTTGCTGAACATGGGAGAACTACACCGGGAGAGGTGCCGTGTGAAGACAGACCTGGGGAAGCCTGGGGAAGCCTCCCGGTGCTCCCACTTACCAGTTCTGTGACTGTGGGCACATTACGGAGCCCCTGGGAGCCTCACTTGTGCAGAAGGCAGGTGATGTCTGCTGCGCCAGAGCCATGTGAGGATGGAGTAAGATCGAGTACGCACAAGGCAGGTACCTCTTAGGACTCTGCAGAGGTGGCTGGGCCTGCCTGGCCTCAGGGGTCATTGGGAGGCACAAAGACAATGAATGGGACAGTACTCGGCACAGAGTGGACTCTTCATGAGGGTCCAGAGATGGGGGTAAGGAGTCAGAGCCTGAGTGAGCCAGAGCCTGTCTTCTCTCTCTCTCCTCCCAGGAGCCCCACCCTGGTGAAGAACATGATCTCGGGTCTCAGTTATGGAGCACTTAATGCCAGCTACCAGGTGATGGGGCCCCTCAGAGCCCACCCACCCCCTCTGCTTCCTGTCTCCTTGCTTTCCCTCCAACACACTCTGGCCTCCTAGAAGAGGCTTTCCCCAGCCTCCCCTGCAGAGGGCCTGTTGGAGGAGGGTGAAGACACTGTGTGGCTGAAACCCCAACCCTGTTCCCACCCCAGCTCAGGCCTCACCTCCACATCTGGTTTCGTGTCTGGGTTCAGATGGTGGGGTGAGATAGAGATCAGGGAGGTTGGCCTAACCAGTGGCTTCTTATCCCGGGGCTTGTCAATCTGGGGCTCCTCTGTTTTCTGGGAGAGGGGCTGAGCCAGGCCCGGGGTTCCAAGAAAGCTGGGAGACAACAGGTCAGAGTTCTGGACTTGAGGAGGGTACTGTGTTCAAAAGGCTGAGTCTGGGCTTGAGGGCAGAGGGGGGTTTTGCCAAGATAGATCTACCAGTGCGGCTAGCAGACAGACGGACACTCACACGCACACACACACCAGACTCTCAACGGGATGGAGAAGGGGAGGGGACTTACCTGGGCCCAACCCTGTGCCCCTCCAGGCCGCCCTGGCCGAGAGCAGCTTCCCCCTCCTCAACAGCCCTGGTATGCTGAACCCCGGCTCCACCAGCAGCCTCCTGCCCCTCAGCCATGAGGATGTGGGCGCGCCCGTGGAGCCGCTGCCTAGCAATGGCAGCAGTAGCCCCCCTCGCCTCTCCCCACCCCAGTACAGGTGAGCATACAGCATGAACCACTCCCCAGTGCCCCCCAAACATCTGGGAGGAAGAATCTTCTCCCACTGCAGGTGGATGTCCCCGTTTTGTCGTTCCTCCCAGTACTGGGGACCTCTCCTTTCTCTCTCATTGGTTCTCTCTCCTCACCTCCCCCTCCCCTTCCCTCCTGCCTTTGCCGTCCCGCTTTCCTCATCCTCTCTCCCTCTCCCCTCTCCTCCTCTCTTCTCCCTACCTCCTCTTTTCCTTTCTCTTTCCCCTTAGTCTCTTTCACTCTCTCCACTACTTTCTCTCTTGCTTCTTATTCTCTTCCTCTCTCCCCCTTCCTTTTATTTTCCCTCCTTCTCCTCTTCTCTTTTTCCTTCTCCTCCTCCCACTCTCTTCCTCTCTCCCCTCCCCTCCCCTCTCCCACTCCCCTTCCCTTCCTCTCCTGTCTTCTCTCCCCCCTTCTCTCCTCCCCCCTCCTCTCCACTCTCTGCTTCTCCACCCCCTTCCCCTCCCTCCCCTCTTCTCCCCTCCCTTTTTCTTCCCCTATCTCCCTTCCCCCTCCCCTCCTGTCCCCTCCCCTCCTGTCCCCTCCCCTCTCCTTTCCTCTCCTCACTGTCTCCTTCCCAGCCAAAGTCGTCTCCATCCCTCTATCCCCCTTTCTTTAACAAGACCCCTGGGAGGAGATCAGACCTAAGATGTCAGGCCCCAGTGGCTCAGGGATGAGGGGATCCTGGGAGGCTGGCAGTTCTGGGCTGTGGACATCCCCACTGTGTCCCAGCATTCCGAATGGGTTTTCTGGGGTGATCTGGGAAAGGTGCCCTCAGTACCCACATCATCCCTTCTACCACAGCCACCAGGTACAGGTGAAAGAGGAGCCAGCAGAGGTGGAGGAGGATGGGCGGCCTGGGCCCCCCTTGGGCCCCCCCAACCCCAGCACTGCGGGGCCTCCAGAAGACAGGGACCTGGAGGAGGAGCTGCCGGGAGAGGAACTGTCCTAAGGGCCTCTTGGGGCAGGCAGGGCAGGGGTGAGACCCTCCCTCCCACCACCCAGGCTCCACCTACCCCCACTCCACAGCCCCTCCCAAACCTCAAGGCACTTCCAGGACTCAGAAGGGAGGGGGGCGCTCCTGGGCCAGCAAATCCCAATGTGACCTGCCTGACAGATGCTCCTGGGCAGAAGTGGCCCTGCCCCCAGGAGACACAGAACCCCTGGTCTGGGACTGGTGGAGGACATGGAGGGCCCAGACCCCTCCTCAGACCCTCCCACATATCTGGATACACCTCCCCCAACCACCAGCAGCACCCTCCTTCCCTCACCAGCTCTCCCCTACACGGCCCCTCAGCGCCAGGGAGACCCGCAGGCGGGGCTAAGTCACCCTTCCCAGACCCAGGGCCCCCAACCCCGTACCTGGCTCTGACAGTGTTTTCTGGCCAGAGGCCCCCACTTCCCTAATTTGTGTTCCCTTCTGCCTTCTCTTCCGTACTGTGAGGAAATAACTCTTTACCCCCAATTCCTACCCTGCCCTGCCCTGGACTGGGGAACTGAAGCTTCAGACTATCCCCAGAAAAAACTGGCACCCTTGGCTGTGCCCACCCAAAAGCCATGGCTGAGGTGGGAACAAACCGTGTGCCCTGTGTGATCCTTGGGAGCAGGGCTGCTTGGCTCCAACCCCTGCCCGTTGGCTGAGGTGGGGACCTAGGCTGAACCAGGCCTGTACCCCTGTTTGCTGGATACTCTCTGACCACCCACACCAGGGAGCTCCCCAAGAGGCCCGTGCCCAGCGGGGCTTCTGCAGGTGGAGAAACTGAAGCAGCGGAGCTACCCAAGGCCACAGATGGCACCAGGGCAGCGTGAAGCTCCCAGCCTCGACAGTGTCCACGTCACAGGGGGAACAGCAAGGCTGAAACAGGGCTTGAGGGGCAGGTGGGATTAAGACGGTGGCTGCTGTAACCACCAGGTCACCCCGCCCCCAGCCTGCAGGTCCCCCCATTGCAGTCCTTCTCTCACCCTCCCTCAGCACCCCTTCCCTGCCCCCCTCCCCCCAGTTAAACGGATGACCAAAGACCTTTCTTAAGCCGGAAGCAAAAACCAAAACTTTTTGTTGGCTTTTTCCTTTGTCGCCTCCCGCACACCCTGCTCTCCCCACGCCCCACCCCGGCCCCAGGCTGGAAGCCCTCCCTCCACTTAAGTTATTGTTTTAAACCAAAGTTTACAGTGTCTGTTGGTGGCCAAGACCCTCTCCCTCCACCCCTCCTGCCCCTTACCCTGAGGACTCTGGGACTCAGCAGAGGCTGGGGGCCCTGCTCACCTCCCCTCTGCTCTTGCCCAGCCCAGAGGGGGCACTGTGGGCAGCCTCAGCACCCCGCAGGGTTCATGCCCCCTCGGGCAGTAGGCACCTGAGCCCTAGTCCCCAACCCTGGGCTGCTTCCTGGGGGCTCTCCAGACCCCTTTCTAGGACCAAGTCCCCCATCACGCTGGAAGTGTGGATTCCAGTAATGGAGCTGCAAACAAAGTGAGACCCTCCACAGACCCCCTATGGGGGACCCCAACTTAAGGCCAAGGACTGGGTGTGCTCATGCCCGTAACACCCCAGGCCAGGCACCTTTGCTGAGAAGACTCCTTGGATATTTTCCAAGATCCCCCACATACACCCCTTCACAAGCCACCCCTCCTGAGTGGCAGGGGGCTCGCCGTCCCCCTTCCCATGTGTTCCCCACCTGTGTTCCGTTTGACCAGCACAGAAATATTAAACGTCCTCTATTCACCAGGCCCTGCGTGTGTCACCAGGGTGATGGGGGGGAGGGCGTTAAAGCTGGACCGTAGGGGCTTCTGGAAGGCTGATGTCTGCTGGCACATGAATGGGGCCGGGTGGGCAGTGTAGGAGTGTGTGGCTCGTGCTCCAGGGCACTGTCAGCCTCCAGGCTTACAGAACAGGCCTTCCTCCCATCTCTCCCTGCTCCTGCAGCACCCCCCCCCCGCCCCCCACTCCTCGTCTTGCATTCTTTGGTATTTTCTTTCAAACCAGGTCTCTCCGTCATTCTGTTTTTTTCCCAGAATTACAGCTTCTTGCCTTAGTTCTCTCATGGGTTTGAACTCCAAGCTCTTGCCCGGGGTGTTTGTAGCACAGAAGTAGGTTGCTTGCAGGAATGGAGAGGGTACCTGCTGCAGGGCCCCTTTGCCTTGGTCACCACCCTTGGAGGCATCCTCCCCCGTGCCCAGGTGCCCACTGGGGAGGAAGCCTGGGCCTATCGTCCACACCTGGTGGGACTGCCTGGATAGGTGGGTGTGTGCATGCATATGCACACATAGGGGGTGGCATTGTGATACACTGGGTGGATCCTCACATGCCCACGTTGCACACGTCTGTGCAATGACTGTAGTACTGGTGGACTCAGGATGGAAAAAGGGGTTATTCATGCAAAGGGGACGCTGGGCATTTATATGAGGGAAGGAGGAGTCCGTCCAAGCTCACCGCCAAAGGCCCTTCCTGACACCTCACTCAGCCCCACCATGCCAGCCCACAGGTCTCATTCCGCATCAGATCCTGGCTCCCCACCCTACCCTTTGTGACGGGGTCAGACTCCAGTGCCTGTCCCTTGGGCCGCCACTGCCTCCCCAACCTTTTCTTCCAGCTCCCCTCTTTGAGCACCAGTCTTCTTCCTAACACCCCCCACTTCCCCACGGGCAGGGGTTCCCCGGCCTCTGTTCTTAGGGGCAGGCCCAGAAAGAAGGGGGCGGTGGGGGGGAGGCGAGGGTATTGAGAAAACAGCAGAACTGTAATCAATCACACTTCCCACACATCTCCACCAAACTGCTGGAACTTTCCAAAAGCCAAATTTGGGGGGAAGGTGAGGCAGGAAGGAGGGTAGGATCTGAGGTGAGTCTTTGCTGAGTTATCCCTCTGCTGTCAGTCTGGTCTGTTCTTTCCACCTCCCCCGTTCTCACACACACACCATCCACTCTGTCCGAATCCTCTGCACACTTGGGTAGAGGCTGGGATGAGTTCCCTGTTCCCACTTAGAGAGGGCACCTCAAGAGGGGCCAGATCAGGCCAGGGAGCCCAGCGTGGAGCCACAGAGCCCCTCCCTGCTGGGCTTACCCCTAGACACTGTATAAAGAAATAGCACCGCTGTGTATTGTAATCCGCCCATCCTGGCCCTCAGCAAAGGCTGCCGGGGCCTGTACAGTAGAACTAGCTGCATGTAATCTGTATGGACAATGGCATTCTCGACAATGCAATAAAATAATTACCCATGATTTTGCTGCTGCTGCTTCCCCTCCCCCTTTTTCCCTTCTGGGGACTTACCAGCCCCCTAGAAAGCCCCAGAGAATCCAGAGTACTGGTTGTCAAACTCCCAGCTCCCTTATTTCACCACTGGAAGCAGAGTCCTTTCTACAGGCTGGCCCCAGGGGCATCCTTTCTACACCGGAGACTCTAAAAGGACAAGATTGTATCCAGCTTCACTCTCAGAACAGTCCTTCCAGCAGTCTAACTTCAATTTCTCCTGTTTCAATAGAGTCTTCTTCCTTTAGCCCACAGGGATATAGCAAATGTCTGGTCAGTACATTTGGAGGTGGGGTGAAGATCTATCTCGGGGCATTAGCAGAGGAGATACTCTCGCAACATAAGGAACAGGGGGCTTCTGTGGACCACCACCCTCTGGGTGCACTGAACTTAAAACTCAATAATAAACTTATTTATCTGACTGATCTGACAGATCCCACCTGGGGCAACCCCTTCCTCATTATTTCCTTCTAGGTAAGAGCCAACTCTCCCCTACCCTCTTCCAGCCATGCTTTGGTGTCAAGAAGTTCTGCATGCTGTCTAGCCTTTCTCCTTCCTACTGTTGTTTGCAGCTATTAGGGGCAGATTGGTAGCTCTGCTTGGCAGCTCTTCCTGGTCTTAGCATTTCTGCTCTGATGGGGAGAGGCAAGCTATCTTGGGAAACTTCTTTCAGGCTAGCAAAAAAGAGAAACTCCAAGCCAGACTCTTGGAAGGTGGGATATGCAGCACTCTGGGCTCTGCATCAAGGAGCTTGAGTGGCACAAACAGTTAAGTGCTCAGCTGCTTATCAAAAGGTTGGTGGTCCAAATTCACCCAGAGGTGCCTTGGATGAAAGGCCTGGTGATCTACTTCCCAAAGGTCACAGTCATTGAAAACCCTACAGAATGCAGTTCTACTCAGACATACATAGGGTCACCATGAGTTGTAATTGACTTGATGGCAACTTTTTTTTTTTTTTTGGTTTGGGGATCTGCACTGGGCAGAAGTCCCCCTTCCCACCTCAGAAAGCACTTCTCCCACTACATTAACACACCACCTAAAGGCCTTTCACCATTGACCAGCAGAGGGCGCTTTAGACAAAGCCAGCCTTCTGCTCCTCTGAACAAACTTGCCCATCAGAGTGGAGAGGGTAGTGATGTTGGGAGTGTGGAGATGGGAGACCTCACCTTCCTGTGAGAACTACAACCCCATACCCCAGAGAGCAGCCTCAGGCCCAGGTCAGAAAACGGTTCATTCTGTTGTTTGGGACTTCCCAGATCCTCCAACTCCTAATCTACAAAGCATCCTAATAGAAACTGGTGAAGGCAAGAAAGATAAGAGATCTGGAGGGAAGATATCTCTTGAGACTAGCACACCAAGCACAACAAAGGGATAGATAAATACTTTGAATAGTAATAATACTCGCTAACATTTAATGAGCTCTTATTATATGCTGGGCACTATGCTAAAAGCTTTGTATTTTATTTAATCTGCAGAAAAGCTCTGAGTTAAGATACTTTTATCCCCATTTTACAGATGAGGAAACTGAGGCACAGAAAACCAAAGAGGTCAACTGAGATAAAGCATTAAGAATGAGGTGTCTGTGGTTTACAGAGGGGAAAGGGAAGAGGGAGGCTCTGTGGTTTAGCCCCAGCTTCCTAGTAACACTATTTACTTTGGCTTTCTCCACCCCACCCCTGTTTTGGAGATTCCCGGTAGGGAAACTGAGGCAT